GCTAATACTTACAGTTGTCTTGGACGGCAGGATTCCATGCGATGAAGCGAGCGTGGCTTACGCCAAATTCCGTCTCAATTATCTGACATGGAAGCTCAACCCCTGTGCGCAGATTAGTATGGCAACTTCAAAATCGCAGAATACAATCAAGTGCGCTACATTACTTACAGTTGGTGTTATTAGCCGCAACAAACTTGTTGCAGTTCGAAGTGATGCCTGGCTGTCGGTAGTGCAGCACATCAATGCAATATTGAGTGCCAATTTTAAACTGCCCGCAGTCACTCCCCACTTCTGGGTTCCAAAGTGCGAATTGATCTTGGTCTATGCCATGTCTTGATGTGAAGCCGATACAATCGTAGCCCGGAGGAGCGGTCGCCTTTTGTACGCAGGAGCTAGTAATGTTTTTAGACGTTTGTCTGTACGTTTGGACGCAATACTGTGTGTTATTTGCCATTGTACACGGACTCGAAGCGTTAAGAGATGGATTCCAGGTCAAGAAATCTGTCATTTCAATGTCAAACTGAGAAACAGCATCTTGGCAGTTGAAGCTTGTGGTCCCATTTCCAGTATAATTGGTAAGAATTGGCGCGGTAAAATAGTTTGTGCAGTCCATACGGGTTCCATTCGCATACGGAGCGTCTGCGGTGGACGCTACATATGTGGCATTGGGGTATGAAGTCATGGCTGGTAAAGAATATGTCCATAACGAAGTGCTAGAGTTATGCGTTAAGATTCTTATGGTCTCTGATGAAATGGGGGGTTTCACTCACGCTGTCGAAGAGGGAATGATGGTGGTTGGACTGGGGTTAACATAGTTTCCTCCCGGATTTGATATGCAGATTGCATAGCCGACGTATTGCTGGATATTTGAGCATTTCGACCCCAGAGATGGATTCCAAGCGATAAGTTGCGCATATGAAATCTTGAATTGACTCTGAAGAGAAGAACATGTGTCGTCTTTCAGCACTGTGTATGGCTTGCAGACACGAGAGTCGGGAATGCAGAGAGACGTGCCGGCTTTGGGGAAGTATTTGCACAAAGACGATAGGTAATTGTATGAGAGCAAATCATCGGTACTTATTCCCTTGTTCATAGAAATACCCACGCATGTGTCTGTTGAGGAAATGGTGTATTTAGTACCAGAGCACACAGCCGCCGGGGGCTGCGTTGGCCTATTGGTGTTGCCATGTTAGCTCATTCATAAGTTTGAGTCAACAAAACATCATATTACTGAAGATACATACGGAACTGTAAAAGTTGTTGCTGTTGGGGGTGCAGATAATGTCCATCCTGTCTTTTTGCACGAGGATGTCAAAGTTGCAAAGAAGCTCTTCAGATCCGCTGTAGAGGCTAATGGCATTGCCAACTGGGTGGACAACAAAGAGAGGTAGCAATCATCACAATAAGCAGTAGAAACTAACAGATGTCAATATAGGCTTTTCGTATTCGAATCATTTGTTACTTACCGGGCGTCGCAGTGGCCCTTTGGTTAGCCGGATCAATACGCATGAGATCTCCAATCACACGATTACAATAAGCCCCTGCTCTGATATTTACTGTAAGTTCTGCTTCTATTCTCCTCAAAATGATGATGAGAATTTACTCACTTGTTCATCAAACAGACTGAGCTGTAAGCTTCGACGTATTGTTCAGCAAACAATGCCAAAGCAAATTGGCCACCGTCTGCTGCATCATAAAGTGTCGCTCCACAAGCGCCAGCTATTCGCCTTTCCCATGTTGTCAGTGATGCTGAGCATGCAGTGTTGCACAGTCCACTGAGTTGAGAACTTGTCAAAAATAATGGTGTGCCAAAGACAGGAGAGCCATCGAGAACATTTCCGATAGAAGCAATTGTAGTTGTGCAGTTTACTGCCTGGTTTAGAACAGCAATACAGGTAGCAGAGAGACCAGGTGCATCTGTGATGTTAAGGAGTTGAACTTGTGCTTCAACAAAGGGAGTATTGCAGAAAAAAACCACGACCTGCAAAAGCAAGGCAAGCCCTACAGCGAAGCCCATGATCTAGACTGATGGAGATACTCTGTCTGGTGTTCAGTTCAATAGCTTTGCTCTACTTTACAGAAATGGTATTTTCCAGACACAGAAAACAGGCAACGTCCAAATGCCTTATCCAAATGCCTTGGAATCCGGCCTCATCTGGTGCAGCAAGATCTCAATTGCCTAAAATCGACAAACGTCCGTGTTGTCAGCGACGGTCCGCCTTGCACCACCGATATTCCTTCCGGCTTGGCGATGAGGATTCGCTCGTCTTACCAACAAAGGCAATCTATGGGCACATCATGGTGTGCTTCGACCCCACAAGCGGGAATGGTGTTGGGGGAGGATTGCATGCACGGCATGCACAACCCCTGCATCACAGTGAAGGATTCAACATCACCTTACTGTGCCGTACATATGCATTCAACCGGAGGATGGAACGTTGACAATCATCTCGTCATGGAATTATTGAGCTTCAGGATCGTGATCCTGTTAATTCCGCGGAGTTTTCCATGACATACGATATTTACAGGGGATTCGGTGCGGAATTCGGTAAGACATTGGTCACGATGCAATTTTTGCAGCTGGAAGTTTCGATAACGATGAAATGATGGTATAAAAGAACGAGATATATCGAGTGATGCAGCTGTCGGCTTTTTGATGGCAAGGCATTCTCTCAATTAGCCTCTTCGTCGAAGCCAAGGCAGCAAGGCAAACATGAGACAGTCAATTGCTGTTGTGCTATGCGCAACTGGTCTTCTTGCCGCAGCCTACACCGTTGATCCTCCTACAACAGCCCCAAGTGATACCATCCAGGACTGTACATCTTGGGATGTTGTTTCAAGTTCAGATACTTGCCAAAGCATAGCTGATTTTGGGTTCATCACACTTGATCAACTCTATGCATACGTATGTCAAAGCCTTCAAGCAATTGCCGACTCCGCTTGTTCAGTGTTTACCCATAACACAAAGCTAACGCATCTCACAGAATCCATCTCTAGCTGCAAGTGGATGTCCTATTATAGTAGGAGACTCTTATTGCGTTGAGCAGAATTTTGGAGTGCCACCACCGCCGTCTTCCACCTCAAAGGCGGCTTCGACTACTACAACAGGCAATGGAGTTACCACGCCAACACCTACACAGACTGGCATGGTCAGCAACTGTAACAAGTTCCACAAAGTAGTCTCAGGAGATTCTTGTGCTGTTTTGGCGTCGGCAAACGGTATCAGCCTGGATACCTTTTACTCTTGGAACCCTGCAGTGGGAACCTCATGCGCTTCTCTAATCCTTGACTACTACGTCTGCGTTGGTGTCATCTCGCAGGGTGGTTCAACTACCACTAAGCCAGGCAATGGGGTTTCGACTCCTGGCCCAGTACAGACGGGGATTGTCAGCAACTGCAACTCATTCCATCTTGTGGTGTCCGGCGATACCTGTCCCGACATTGCCTCAAAGGCCGGTATCAGCCTGGACAACTTTTATGCGTGGAATCCCGCAGTCAAGAGCGATTGTACGCAGCTTCTTGCCGGTGATTACGTCTGTATTGGAATCATCGGTGGTACAACAGTCAAGCCCACGTCGACTTCTACGAAGCCTGGCAATGGAATTTCCACCCCAGGTCCGATTCAAACTGGCATGATTGGCAGCTGTAACAAGTTCCATCTAGTTGTTTCCGGCGATACCTGCCCAGATCTTGCCACAAGCAATGCCATAACTCTTGCCAACTTTTACGCATGGAATCCTGCGGTGAAAAGCGACTGTACGTCGCTCATCGTGGGAGATTATGTCTGTGTGGGCATTGTAGGCGGAACAACAGTCAAACCTACCTCGACGTCGACTAAGCCCGGTAACGGAATCTCTACACCTGGCCCAATTCAAACTGGAATGATTGGCAGTTGCAATAAATTCCATTTGGTTGTTTCCGGTGATAGTTGCCCTGCTCTTGCCTCGAGCAATGGCATAACGCTTGCCAATTTTTACTCATGGAATCCAGCTGTGAAGTCGGATTGCACGTCGCTCATCGTGGGAGATTATGTTTGTGTAGGTATTGTGGGAGGGACGACAATCAAGCCCACTTCAACGACAACGAAACCTGGAAATGGAATCACGACTCCAACTCCTACACAGACCGGCATGGTCAGCAATTGCAACAGTTTCTACCTGGTGAAATCAGGAGACTCATGTGCAACAGTTGCTGCAGCAAAGGGTATCTCTCTTGATAACTTTTATAAGTGGAATCCTGCCGTCGGAACTGGCTGCTCGTCTCTGTTAGTTAGTTACTATGTGTGCGTCAATATTGTTGGTGGCCCTACTCCCACAACGATGAAGACATCAAAGACTACCCCGGGCAATGGTGTAGCCACACCAACACCCACGCAAGCTGGTATGGTGACCAACTGTAAGACGTTCCATTTAGGTGAGTTATGACAATAACCCTACACGCATGATAGTGTCATGCTGTGATTCTATTGAACCCTCGAAAATACTGACCGGCAAATAGTGGTCTCTGGTGATTCGTGTCAAGCAATCGCCACTAACGCCAAAATTACTCTGGCAAACTTTGAGAAGTGGAATCCAGGTGTTGGCAGTACCTGCAGTTCGCTTTGGTTGGGTTATTATGTTTGCATCGGCCTCATATGAGGTCCGGCTTTGTGAGGCCATTTTCTCTCCAGTCTCATAGAACTCCAGTTAGCTCCTCAAAATATAGAAGCAATTAATTAACATCTCTAGTATTTTAAATAGATATGCACCCATTCCCTATGCCCCCCTTCCATCTCCCAAAAGGTGTCGCTTTGAACATAGACTCCTAAAATACGGCCACACCGAGAAATACTGAAAGTATCAAGCCAGCCATTCCCACAGGGGTAAACTTACTTCTATGGACGGACCGATGCCTCCAGGTATATAAATGTAGAAGAGATGCACCCACGATAAGATGAGATAATGTTCCATTCGACCAGAACTAGTCGCTTGATCATCAATACCATCGCAAATTTCGGAGCCATGATCGCCAGCAAGCCTCGATGCACGCACTTTTGCCCCTGCCCTTGCCCCTTACTCCCAGAGTACTCGCGGCGACCTCGACGGGGGGATGAGTGGTCTCCAGAATGGGGCCTATGCCCTGTCAACGACGAAGACCCAAACAAGGCCCTAGCTGAGAAAAGAAAGAGGCGGCGTTGGATATACATGCTGAGCCGTGTGACAGTCCCCCTCAAAAACCTATTTGTCGATATTAAGCGTCATCCCGAGAGAATACCTGAGGTGTGATTATTCAGATGGTTGGTATCATCTTACCACGTTCCCGAAGGGTATCAGGATGGGCGGCGAGCGCCATGGCGTATGCTTGTGCGCACATACTTCAAAGACCTTCCCAGACAGCTGAGGCAGGAAAACAATGAACGGTCCATAAAGTCATGGAGAACGATTCCTTTGAGAAAGGGGCCAATCATCGACCGTACAGAGCATGACAAGGCGCCCTCCAAAATGACGTGCTGCCGACGAGATTTCATCTCGCTACATTGGAACGATAAATATCGAACATTGGGCGGAGACTGGCTTATAGTCGTCTATCTTTGGACTAATGACCGTAAATGGGCGAAAAACACGCCTGTAAAAGATTTGATCTCGTTCAGTAGTGTAACCGGGTAAGTCGTCGCCGCTTGTATACCACCTTTTTTTCTTCAATCATCGCTCACAGTTCAAATATTGGGGTTTTAGTATCCGCGCATGGGAATGGGTCAAGCCCGTGGACTCCCGTTCCAAGACCCCCTACTTGTTTTACGAACTTGAACGTGATAAGGACGGTACGCTGAAGGATACGGTATTCGGTGGGAACGCATATAAGGACTATGATCCAGTTCCAATTCAACCTGGAGACCCTGTGCCGACCAGACTCTCTGGCCTGCGTCGATTGATGAACGAGCAAGCTAGGCAGTTGCTCTATGCAGATTATGAGTTCTAGAATGCATATCCACTATAATTGGGCATTATCCGTTAAACCTGGAACTACATATAATGCTTTCAACGTTCCATCTACTATAATACTAGAGAGACGCTTGTGGGATTAATTTACTCTAAGAACAGACAAACTGTAAATTTAAACTCTGCCACACAATGCTAGGCGGTTGCAACAGCCGCTGAAGATCATACGATTATACAATCCATCCCGCTCTGAGGGGCTGAAATTTCGAAATGTTAGTGGAAGTGTAACACTTTCGATGGCGGGGTTGTTGATATAAGCGTTACCAAAACATCACACCACCATTTTGACGTAAAAGTCAATTACTCCGAATCAAATTGGGATCGTTTCATGTTATCAAGGCAGATCTTGAAGTATCACTATAGTAATTAGTTGATGACGCTATCTAAAATCACTTCATAATCTCCGCCAGCTTATACTACTATACCAACTCGGACAACTAGAAACACTTAAGCTTTATGTTAACATTTATATGCTTGGCTCTACTACTCATGCAGCCCAGTTCAAATTTAGATAAATTGGAGAGACCACCTAATGTTATATATGCAATTCTCAAATCCATAACCCTCGGCTCTCAACCAGGTTTACTACAACCAATATGGCCCTCTTCACAGTGGGAGATTATCTTGCCGAAAGGCTCGCCCAAATTGGGATTCGTCATCATTTCATCGTCCCGGGCGACTACAACCTCATTCTCCTCGACAAGCTTGAGGCGCACCCAGCATTAACTGAAGTTGGTTGTACAAACGAACTCAATTGTTCTCTGGCTGCCGAAGGTTATGCACGCGCTTGCGGCGTAGGCGTCTGTGTTGTTACTTACAGCGTAGGCGCCTTCTCAGCCTTCAACGGCATCGGCAGCGCGTATGCAGAGAATCTCCCCGTTATCCTAGTCAGTGGAGCACCTAACACGAATGATGTTGATCAACATCTACTGCACCATACGCTCGGGGAGCATGACTTTATCTACCAGCTTGAGATGGCCAAGAGGATCACCTGCTGTGCCGTAGCCATCCGGCGAGCAGCTCATGCCCCCGAGTTGATCGACCGCGCTATTCGAATGGCGCTTCTGAAGCGGAAGCCGGTTTACATCGAAGTCCCAACGAACTTATCCGGCGAGGCATGCGCGCAACCCGGACCTATCAGCGCTGTAGTCAAGCAGATGCCGAGTGATGCGCCAGCCCTCGATGCTGCTGTTACCGGCGCCTCTGAATTCCTTCGTGCCAAGCAGAAGCCTGTGATTCTTGTCGGGCCGAAAGTGCGAAGAGTGGGCGCGGAAAAGGCTTTGCTCCAGCTGGTAGAAGCCATCGGATGCGCCGTGGTCCTTCAACCAGCGGCAAAGGGCTCTTTTCCAGAGGACCACGCCCAGTTCGCGGGAGTCTTTTGGGGCCAGGTCAGCACCCTCGCAGCTGACACCATAGTCAATTGGGCTGATGTCCTCATCTGCATCGGCACTGTATTTACAGACTACAGCACGGTCGGCTGGACGGCTTTGCCAAGTGTTCCACAACTCGTCGCTGATATAGACAGCGTCGCCCTGGCTAATCCAAATATGTATTTTAGCCATGTCCAGTTGCAAGACTTTCTGGTCAGACTTGCCGAAGCAGTCAGTTGGAACAGCTGCACGATGACTGAGTATAATCGACTTCGTCCCGACCCTTCTCTCGGGCAAGCTTCTCTCGGGCAGGAGAGGTTAACTAGAAAGGAGGTTGCTCGACAGACGCAACTGCTCTTGACTCCGGAGACGACAGTGTTCACCGAAACGGGCGATTCGTGGTTCAATGGAATCCAACTATGCCTTCCACCAGGAGCAGAGTTTGAGATTGAGATGCAATGGGGCCATATTGGATGGTCGATACCTGCTTCCTTCGGCTACGCTCTGGCAAAACCAGAGAGGAGGACCATCCTCATGACAGGAGATGGCGCGTTCCAGATGACTGCCCAGGAAGTTTCGCAAATGGTGAGATGCCGCATTCCCATCATCATTCTTTTAATCAACAACAGGGGCTACACAATTGAGGTAGAGATTCACGATGGACTGTACAATCGTATTCAGAATTGGAATTACGCGCTTCTAGTCGAAGCATTTAATTCTGAAGAGGGAGGGGGGCGTGCGCTTGGTCTTAAAGCTCATACTGCAGAGCAAATTTCCGAAGCACTCAAGACAGCAATAGCGCACAAAGATGGGCCAACACTTATTGAGTGTAATATCCATCCAGATGATTGCAGTAGAGAGCTGATTACCTGGGGGCATTTTGTTGCGGCAGCTAACTCCCGTGTCCCTGCGAAAGATAAGTAACATATTTTACAATGTACAAAAGATCAAATATCATAACAGAGTTGAAAAGTAATTGAAACAGTTGTAGTCACCCTCACATACTGTACATCCGTATGACTGAGATAATACTGTTTGGTTATCACTTTAATATGTTAAAAACATGAAAAATAAATTCTCAAAACTTGGTTCCCCCCTCCACCACTGTTTTCAGTCCGCCATCAAGGTTTACTACGCTGAATCCTCTCTGACTGAGGATGCGGTAGGCCAAGTATCCCCGGTAGCCCACATAGCAATACACAAGAATCGGCATGGATTGATCAAGCCCCAATGTTTGACCGCGCAGTGTCGCAATTGGCAAGTTGATTGCCCCCGGGAGGTGGCCAGTCGCAAACTCCTCAGGTGAGCGAACATCCACGACTTGCCAGGTATGTAGATTTTTGATGTTGATGTCTTCGGCGTGTACGATCTGATAGTCCCCGCGGAGTAAGTTTGAGCTAACAAATCCAACCATGTTCACGGGATCTTTGGCCGAGCCGTAGGGCGGTGCGTAGCTCAGTTCGAGATGTTCCAGATCAAAGACTGTCATCCTAGCTTGCATCGCCGTCGCCAGCACGTCTATGCGCTTGTCCACGCCAGCCATTCCCACTGCCTGCACCCCCAGAATACGGCCTGTGCCTTTTTCGAACGCGGTCTTGATTGTGATTGGATGAGCGTTGGGATAATACCCTGCATGGTGTGGAGGATGCACTGTAACCCAGAGCGGCTCCTGTCCCAACTCACGCAGCGCCGAGACGGACAGACCAGCCAAACCAACCGTTAGATCGAAGACTTGACAGATGATTGTGCCAATGTTGCCGCGATAGTGCACTGGTCTGCCGGCAATATCATCTGCGGCGAGTCGACCCTGGCGATTTGCTGGTCCCCCTAGAGCAACTACCCTTGGCTGTTGTTGAATGATATGCTTTGTCTCAACCATATCACCTACAGCGTAGATGTCTTCGTCGGATGTCTCCATGTGTGATTCAACCTTGACTCCTTGCGTTCCCACTTCCAGACTCGCCATCTTTGCCAGTGATGTTCTTGCTCTTACTCCCGCAGCTAGAATTACCAATTCGGCAGGAATCTCTCTTCCATTGCTGGCCAAGACGACATGAGAAGTTTCGATTCTTCTTGCAGTATCATTCAGGTATAACTTTACACCATTGCGCTTCAGTTCTGTGTGAAGAAACTGCGCGATATCGGCATCTATTGACGGCAAGATATGGGTCCATTGTTCGACAATCGAAACTCCAAACTTCATCTTTCTCAAATTTTCGGCCGCTTCAAGGCTGATAAATCCCCCGCCAATGATGCAAACATCTCTCACGCATCGTTCGACCATGATAGATCGAATAGCTTGTAGATCCGAGATGGTCCGTAGAGTGACGACATGGCTCTGATCCGCCCCAACGATCTGTGGATGCACGGCTTCGGCGCCTTGGGAAAGAATGAGCTTGTCATAGCCGACTCGCTGAATCTCAGCCTCTCCAACGGTTTGTGTGCACACTTGCTCGTTTGTGCGGTCAATCTCAACAACTTCGGTGTTGAGGTGAACATCGATGTTGAAATATTCCTTGAAATACTTTGGCGTGTGTAAAACCAGGGCTTCATCATCCTTGATCACTTTACCCAGAGCATAAGGTATACCGCAGTTTGCGTAGCCAGCGTAGGGTCCTTTCTCAAACACGGTAATCGTTGCTGATTCGTCCAGACGACGCAAGCGGGTGGCAGCTGACATGCCTCCGCCAACACCGCCGACTATGACCACCTTTTTGGACATTATGAAAGACTTCAAAGGTTATTACCCCGAGGAGAAATGTTCGAGAGTAGGTGAAAGTTGATAGATCAATATTTGTGCCACTCCAATGGTCTTCGGATTCAAATTGTTTCCTTTTATTCCTCCACCAAATACCGAAGCGTACAATATTTTCTACGCTTATATCTGTGCATGTGGTTAAGATTACATGGACGGTGGTCTGATTGCCGTGTGGCGGAGACTTAACCAGATGCTAGTCTCTACGCCATAACTAATGATGGGGTCATTTTCGACGGCGGCTATTATCGCGATACTGTTCAAATACCCATCGTGAACTCGATGGGTTGTCATATGCTTTCCTCGGCATTTAAGCTTGTGCGTAAATGTGGCTTTACATCATGCGATGGCGGAAGCCACCGCACAAGACTCTCGGGTGTGTCACAGTACTGAAGTCTAAATTTAAGTGACCAGAACCGATAGTAAAGAAATATATAGTTTAGTCTAACTGCTTAGAAGGCTACAGTGCAGAGATGAAAAGGGTTACCCTTTTCTCGTACGAGTGGCTCTACGCCTCTACGCAATTATTACCAATTGTCATACTATTGAGTTCATAGCTTAAGCTGCTCATCATATGGATAGCGGTTATCACAGGGGTTAATAATTACTAGTAATAGTTATAGAGTATCAATTGTTTAACTGTACTAGAAGTCAGCTACTACCTCAGTCCTCTATGCTGTTATTCCCCTATTTATTTCCTTATCGAAGAATGTCGACTTACATATTATTTTTGTCGTCATCTCTATGTGAGCTTACTCTTCTAAGTGAAACATTATCGATACATTTGTTTGGTGAAGAATTTTTAGGTAATATGAACTACTCAAGTAATTACAATGGTGACCTAAGCGAAAAGCTAAGACTCATTGGCTACTTCTGCTGTTTTTTTCTTTTCTTTTCTTTTCTTTCTTTTTTTTTTTTTTTTTTGGTAGTTTTAACTGAAGAATGCAATTAGACTTGCCGTGATAATTCGAAATTGCTTTCCCTCCGTTTCCCAGTAAACATCAATCAGTTGACGGTGATGCGGCGTGACTCATGTTTAGCAGCCTTGGGAACAGTAATGTTGAGGATGCCGTCTTTAAAACTCGCTGTCACATTTTCTTGGTTGACTCGCGTAGGGAAACTGAAATTGCGTGAGAATTCGCCAATACTACGCTCAGTGAGCCAATACTTGGCCGTATCTTCAGTCGCATCCTCGGTGGTTGCTTCGCGGGAAGATGGCTTGGCCTGTCCCTCGCCGCCCTCAGCGATCTTGCCTCTCGTTGCAATTCCCTCTAAGGCTCCAGCAGGTGGCGTGCCAGATGTGTATGTCCTCTCAATTTTACCACTGATGAGCATATTTTGAGGATCGGTGAATTCAACGTTCACATTCTCTTTGCTCATGCCGGGCAGCTCGCCATGGAGCTCATACGCGGAGTCAGTCTCGCGCATGTCAAATTTAGGTTGCCAGTGCGCCAGGCCAGAGCGACGACCCTGTTGCTGAGCGTTGCCTGGGCGAGAATAATTGTCAAAGTCGTCAAGAAGGCGGAAGAGGGGGGTGAAGGATGTCTCGGGGGTGTAAAAGTGACGCTGGGGGAAAGCCATTTTGCGGCTGAGCGTTGCAGTAAGAGGTCTTGAAGAGGTGACAGTTAAAGTACGTCTATGACAACGTAATATGTTGCGAAGAAATTCTCTGTAAATTTGCATATGATGCTCTTTTCAACGCCTTGGCTGTTGGTTGTTGATGTTGAAGGATACATAGGGTATGCTTTGGCGTTCGTAAACCGTCATTTTATACATGACGAGGCACAATTGGAGAGTCCTTCCCTAAGCTATGGGAAGGGCGCCCAGAGCAGAAATTTAGACTTTTAATAGGATATTAAAGTCAAAATCACACGACTATGACGTTCTGGTGACAGTGTTGACTATCCGGAGAGTACGAATGACTTTCTGACCAACAGTGAATTATGCACGTTCGTCTTATGAACTGTCATATCGTGGCGCCAACAGGGCAAAAAAGTAGGCCAATAATCGTAATTGTAGCATTGACTGCGATAACCAGCTGTTTGAATGAATCTAACTGTTGCGAGGGGCCAGGCCATAACAGCTTCATAGTTTTATAATAATTTTTTGTTTACATATCAATTTTTTTTTTTTTTAAATCTGGTTATATAACTTCGATTACAATTGAGAATCTAAGGTTTAAGCTCCATGTTGATTTCTTTCTACTTTTTAATACATAACATTCTACTTCAAGAGTTATTCATACAATTCTTTCTATTATATACCAGTCTCTTTCATTGATTGCTAGGGAACGTATCTCTGAAGTGGACCTACTAATACCAGACACAACAACAAATCTGGCGTGCCTGACGGCTATAAGGGCCTCTGTGAGGGAACATGTCGGATCATTTGATATAGCTGTCTTAGCCTCGTCCCTGTAAAAAAGAGTCCACTGTCACAGCCAGGAGTCATTTCGTCAAGTTAGGTTATCTTATTCTTATATCTAGGTAGGGAGACATGGCAAATTGCTTGGCACCGACCGACATCGGCATCCATGTTCTTCGTCCTGGGTATCATGTTCCAAGCAAAGAGAGTTTTTACCCAGATCCCAGAAAAGTGGCAGCATACGCTGGTAATTACATCTGAGACTCATATGTATCGTATGTGCAATAACGGCTTGTATAGATAACTGTTTCGACTTTCTCCTTCAAAACCTCATGCGCTGGTTAGATACGAACATTGCGTCGACTAAGATCTTAAAGAGAATGTTTATGTGCCAATGTTGGTCAAATCCATCAGTGGCCCAGAAGGAAAGAGAAATGGGTACCAAACTAAACCATATACGCCCACCGAAGATAGTATCACAGGCTAATAATAGAAGTTGTTCCGAGAAATCCGAGTGATGTTGGTAATACAGAAGATCACAGAGGGAACCATTAAAAGCGCTAATCACCGCTTTCCCCTCGGAAGCAATCATGCCCAGTCGTACAGTCGTACCGGCGTCAAACCTGATCACTACAGGTCGGACAAGAAACGAGGCGTAAATGCCCAACCAGTAGACGACCTTTGAAGTCGCGAGACAGAAACGACGGACCCCATATCATCAGGCTGTCGGGTGAATGCATCTACTCTCATTTTGACTTTCATCCATTCTTGCGAAATTCCATTTATTTTCTAAACATCTTTAGTATTTAATGACTCAATTCCAGCTACGATAATACAACAACAAGTTTCCTTGATTAACTACCAAGTACGACTTCTTTTGGAGCATATCATCATCTAGACTCTGCTCAAAGGTGTTCAGGTCACCATAACTTCACAATTCAAGACATCACTACATCATTTAATTCCCATTCAAAAGAAATTCAGCATGGCTGATGGCTACGAGAATGCAACAAGCCACCGAGCAAACATGTACCCCATGCGAAAGACGGGGCGATCACAGCCTTCTAGTACCACTTTGACCTGGTCTACATTGGGAGACCACGGCAATATACATCAAGGAGATCAAAATATAAACATAGAACAAGTTCGCAATATTACCAACAACTATGCCTGTCCACCACCTCAGATTGGGAACCACCCGACATTTGACCCTCACCAAGGTCAATCGAGGAAACCTTGTTGGACCGTTCCGTTCGGTAGAAACAAAGACTTTGTCGGCCGTGAATCTATTCTGAAGCAACTTCTCGACATGATCCCTCCCAATGCAGATGAAGACGACTGCCAACAGACTGTTATCAGTGGACTTGGCGGCGTTGGGAAGACCCAAATCGCCCTTGAAGCTGCCTTTCGCGTCCGCGCCAGGTACCGAGATTGCCATGTCTTCTGAGTTACAGCTATTAATACCACCACTTTCGAGAATGCCTACCGTGAAATCGGCCGGGAGTTGAACATACAAATTAATGAAAACGATAAGGCAGACATCAAGTTGTTAGTTAAAGCAGCATTAAGCCAAATCTCTGATAGCTGGCTCCTGATTATCGACAACGCTGACGACGCGACCCTATTCGAAGAAACTAGCGAAGTCACATCGTTGAGGGGTTATCTCCCCTTTAACCTCAAAGGGTCCATCCTTTTCACAACTCGAAATGTCGAAGTCAGCCAAAAGTTAGCCATCCGGAAAAACAATATCGTCCATCTTACGGGGATGAGTCAATCAGAAGCGACCAATATGCTGCAGAGAGTTTTAGATTCACATCAAATGAGTGATACGCAGAGCTTAGAGAGCTTGCTTGAGTTTTTGGCCAATTTGCCGCTTGCTATTAAACAAGCTTCTGCATACATGATAAAGACTGGGATAGCGATTTCTCAATACCTTGAGTATTGTCGTTCCAGCGACGAGGCCTTGATTGAGCTGCGGAGCGAAAACTTTGACGATCGAGCCCGCTATGAGGCCACTCAAAATCCAGTTGCTACAACATGGTTGATATCATTCAGGACCATTTTGAGAGATAAACCACTTGCGGCTGACTACCTGCGATTTATGGCTTTTCTTGCCGAGAAAGATACTCCAAAACGTCTCTTACCACCCAGTAATAAATTATACGTATACGACGCGATCGGGACACTAAAAGCATACGGATTCATTAGCGAACGAGAGGGTGGAGATGCATATGATATGCACAGGCTTGTCCGTCTGGTGATGCAAAACTGGATGAGAGAGAACAAAGGGGAGTTGCAGACACATATCACAAAAGTCATGCAGCGCTTCGATGCAGAAGTCCCTGTCCCTTTATTTTCGAATAAGGATAAATGGGCAAGATATTTACCACACATGACAATGGCGTTGAAGTTTCAAGACCACATGTCAGACCAAATCCTTAAGTCGTCCATTTTATGTAAGGCGGCGAACGGCCCCTTTATTCTCGGAAAATATAGGGATGCCAAGGAAATGAACGAACGGGCGCTTGATCTACATATCAAAGTATTAGGTGATGAACATCCCAGTACTCTTGAGATTATGGATATGAGTTTGGCTATTGCCGCTTGTGAAGACCAGCCTGCAGAAATTGAGCAGATAAGTAAGAGAGTGCTTGAGCTACGGAGAAAAATATTAGGCACTGAGCATCCTCACACGCTTGAGAGCATGCGCAAACTCTCAGTGGCTTTCTATAAACAACAACATTATGAAGAAGCTGCGGAGATGAGCCGGCAGGCACTTGATTTACATATAAAAGTGCTAGGTGCTGAGCATCTTAAGACACTTGAGACTATGTCCACCCTCTCTTTAGCTCTTAGTGGACGGGGCTACGATGAGGAGGCTGAGCAGATAAGCCGGCAGGCACTTGATTCACTGATAAAAACACAAGCGTTTGAGCAACCTGTCACACTGGCGTGTATGGCCGCCCTCTCTTTAGCTCTTTTTCACAAAGCCACTATGAGGAGTGTGCGCAGATAGGCCGACAGGTACTCAATATCTGTATAAAAGTGCTAGGTGCCGAGCATCCTAACACACTTGTTAGCGGCGACTTCCTATCTATGATTCTTCGTGAACAGGACCGGCACAAGGGAGTGGACGACAAGCGGATACCAAAAAAGCCGAGAGCTGGCGAACCACCAGAATCCAAACCACCAGAATCCAAACCACCAGAATCCAAGCCGCCAGAATCCAAGATCAGATCGCGCGTACACAAAGTGGCAATATTTCTGTCTTTTGGTTGCGCATTTATTGCTCCAAGAAACGCAAACATGTATCTCTACCGTTACTTGTCTGGGCGCACAGGCAAGTAGGAGCTCGAACTAAGATAAAGTAATAAAGGTGTAGAGACAAGTAGTGGTAGTTGCAGCGCGTCCATCTCTTATTTACATGTATCTAGAAACCCAGTAGTGATATATGAGTTCCAAAGCTGACACTACTACTTGTTGAAAAGCTCCATTTCCATCTACATTAACTTGCATAACATGCGCTGTTATTTGCAAGATTCAGGTAGCTGGCAAAGTTACCCGTATGGAGATTCCACGACTTTTATGCTCTAGCTGCTGATGTCACCACGTTGGATAATATCTATTGCGAGATCATCCGGCAGTTGAAGGAGCATCGGCTCGCTGAGCGACTCCTAAGGATCACTGTGATATTACGTTCTATAGTCGCCCATCCAGCATACAGAAGAAATATGTGAAAGTGAAAGATTTCAGTATATTTTGATTTCATGCCGCTTTTCTTCATGCTGGAAAACAGAAGCGTGACAAGCACACCTCCCTTCGCCGATCTTCGGCATCAACACTCAACTCTGTTTTGCATTTTTCTTCGTCTCGGTCTCGATAGCTAACCATTTCCATGCTACTAATACATCAGTACGGCCTCACGTACTTCCAGCAACGCATCTGACAAGCCTCCACGGTGTAGTCTGCGGTCTCGGTGAATGCCGGGTCACGTACTAGCGCGATTGCTGCTCAGTTGCCTTCGTTCCATCTATTACTCTGTCAATACCTACCAGTAGTTGAGAATCAATTCACATAAATGATCCTACGTACCTCTCTGAGCATCCTGGACAGTAGTAGAACAAGGTAGTTCCTTCATCCGCACTTCTCAACTGAAGGGCCGTATATCGCACTTGCTTGGCACCACACTTTCGGCAAGTTTCCTCGGCCGTAGCCCAAGTATCTTCACGTGCTAGACACTGTAAATGTTGTGTTGGTTGTCGTTTCCGGCGAAGCTCAGAAGGGAAGTTATTAGTCGAGGAAACAGTAGCAACGCCATCGAGTAAGTTATCTGGGGCTGGCTGGTTAATACTCCGTCGAAATCTAGTGCGAAGACGATCTATCAACTTACTCTTGTTCATGGATCCACAACAATCGCACCGAACAATTGAAGCCGAGGAGATGTCCAGAGTATTTCCGCATGGCCCGCAGAATTGGATAGCCATTTTCGAGGATGTGAACGTCGGTGAGGAGTGAACCAACAAATTCATGGCAAGGCAAACAACCTTGAACATATGGAATGCATCCGTGCAAACATTATCACGTGATTCTGATATCCTTCCAGCCTGTCTTTACGCCTATTCTTAACTATGTAACGTCTTATAACATGATCATATGTTGAGAATAAAGTTACCGTTTCAAAGACAACAGATATTCGTTCTTCCTGAAGTCTCACCCTGTCCGGATAACTGGCTTCTGTGGTTGAATTGTTCGTCCAGATCTCTGAACAACCAGTCTGCAGAGAGATTTATGTGCCAAGAATAGCCAAGGTAGTTAAAACAGATCTTAGGTTTATCTTTCTAATAGCCCAACAGTCATTCAATCGCAACTTTGTAAATCGATACAGCTATCTGGCTATGAAGCTTCATATTTCCTAAGTCACTCTGAATAGCAAGCCCTAGCATTTGTGATTATATAGACTTCTGAACTTCTGAGGCCTCATTGCACGGTATACAGTCCACATTCCTTTGTAGAAACCACCGTAGCTACAGCATCTATATGTCCCCACTCAATAGCATGACCGTCAGTAAGCTCGTTCAAGGCTTTCAGCGCGATGTTCAAGCCGCCATTATAGGCGGCGTCAATAGCCAAAACATGGATACTACGACCTCCATACTCCAGTCTATAACAGGTTCCGCATTGCGGAGAGTTCCAAGTAATACCTTGGACGCCACCAATGTAGGGAAAGTTGGAGACTTGACCCTGGGTTTGCCAATGGTATTTGGTGATGAGGCCATTGGGGCCGTCAGAGCAAGACACATCTTCCAAAGGACGAGAAAAGTCATCATAGCCAGTGTCGAATGAAACTACATATCTAGTTGGATTAATGCTCTTGTGGATCAAACTGTGAAGATTGCTTTACGTACCATAAGTGGCAGCGGAGCCCACAGAGAGGATAGCAGCAGTAAAGAGGCTGGTGAGTTGCATTTTGACAAATTTTGTAAATTTTTGAAGGGCTATATATCAAAGTATGTTTAAGATCTATGACATCAACAGTAATAGATCCGAGGACAGAGACCTGAGATGAAGCTGGGTTAGACGACGGAACGGTGAGGGGATAGTGAACCTTTTATAAGCCATGGCTTTTCAAGGGATTTCTGTTGTAACCACATGTCTCACTCAATCCTCTACTCTTTTTGGCACTGCCAGTCTTCATCACCATTAAAAGCATTACTGCAAAAGGAAAAGAGACCGCTATTTTAGTCTGCGGGCCTTCCTTCGTTGACTTGTACTACGTGCGGCTGGTGACTGATTGAGAGATGCGCCGATTTTCCGGATTATTCCCAATCCAGAAACAGAAACTTGTAGGTTTAGGAGCTCTAGAGTGGTATCGCCACCAGTTTGAACGCTTTTTTGTGAAAAAAGCCATTATTGTGAATGTTCTGAAGTGATTAGAGACTTGTATGTAGGAGACAAGACTTTGCCCCATGCCTTTGTGTACTCCGTATATCAGCACATATTGTAATTCTAGATATGGAAGCTAATGACGTAAACCAAGATGCGGTGAGGCGGTGGTAACATGACACTTTTATGTAGGAAGTATGAGACACTTTCGCCCTGCAGTCGACTGAATACGAGGTACATACGCTTTTCAGTTGTTTTCAGGTACCTTCGAAACCACGTGAGATTTGATGGAGATTGAGGGGTTAGGCGTAGCTGCGGCCGCAGGAGATGGATCAATTGATGCCTAATTGTTCATGGCCTCACAAGTCTTAGAATTGAATGGCTGTAATGATCCCGATGAATGGTTACCATATGTAAGCTTTGGATTTGGGCATTTCTGAGCAGATACTAACACACTTGTAATGCATACTACATGTACGTGTGCATGTATGTCAGGTAGTCAAGCGTAGCTAACTGACAGCCGAAAGATGTCCAAAAATTAGAACTTCGTCACTTGCCACCAAGTACTAAGAGGTTCTAATGGTACCTACATTGACCATCACTCCTTCAATGCGAAGAATGTAACGCCACGCTAAGAGTTTGGCTTTTGCCCTTCTTATACACCGTTTGAGAACTTCAATCTGGGCATCATGAAAACCAGGGTGCTTATATCAACGCCTACCCTATTGTTAAGATAATGTCAGAGAAGATAGAGCAGTCGACTTGTGGGATATCTCGCAGCGGTCGGCGCTATTATGAAGAATACCTACTGGTTCAATAAGAAGGTCCGATGTTCGTCATCTATAGATTGGTATTCTTGGTGGACGGGTGAGGCAGTTACCTTGCTTTGGCAAGGTCTGGATCAATCTCAGCAAGAAACATAAAGTGCATATACTAGTATCTGCTACTATATCACTCGCCGTGATCCAATCCTATAGGATACCGCAGCACAGGAATGGTACGTATATCCCTGTCTATTTCAGAGCTTCCTGCCGCAATCTTCTTGTCGTTAGAACATTAAACATCTAAATGCGAAACTTGAGTCGGTAGTGAGAGTCATGTAATACTATTAAGAGGCCATATTATACATGGATCCCCTATACATCTGAATCTAATTACACTATCCTTTACGGAGTAGACTTTATCCATAGACTATTTTATGTTGACAAGACCCCAGGCAGAAAACCCGACTAGGCAAAGCTCTTATGTCCGATACGCCCCTTTTCATAGCAGCTTACGCCGATTATTAAACATAGGTTGGATGTTCATTGGCTAGCCACCAGTTTTATTCCCATGGACTACCACAATAGGGTTGCGGGTTAAGTACTCCACAATACGTGACAGCCCGTTGTCAACCTGAGCTTCTTAACGGAAAGACTCAATTTTGATCTTTGTGCTCTAGTATTTCCACTATTACGCTATAGCGCACTATAGTCCTTATATGGTTGCAATTAGGTTTCGTACTTTTCTTGCTTGAGGTATCTTATCCATTGATAGCATGTGGGGGAATGAAATAATGATTATGGGTGCTGCACCATAGTTGTGGCCCAAAGAGCAAGAGTCATGCAAACAACACTGTGGGACCGAGATGCAGCTGAACAAGCTCACCCGCTGACACGAAAATTGATTCCTATATTAGCTTTGTCCTAGCGCATCCTAGTCCAATCACGGCACTTTGCAATCTTCAAAGGTTCTTACAGCGCAGTCAGCCCTAAACGAACCGCCTCACAACGATTCATATATAACACGACGTAATTCCACTCAATTTTACATGAATTCCCATTTACTTTTCAATTCATGTTATCTTAGCCCAATTCTCACACGTTGATAATTATACCACCGTCTGGAGACCGTTTCGAACCAAAGTTTCTCTTCTTACATCTCCCACGATGGCTGCACCCTGGGCTGATGAACCCTTCACCCTTATCTCTATACCTGGCCGCGGCGTGGATCTCTCCAAAGCCCATGGATCCGTATATGTCGCTCGTGAAATGGCATTTGCGCACAATGGCATGATTCGGGCTCTCAACAGCATCTATCAGCAATGCATTCACGTCTCTGCCTCCATCGACATCGCCGACTTGCTGAAGTACGCACAATTCTGGTGCCAATGGATCCGTGAGCATCACCAAGGCGAAGAAGATTTGTTTTTTCCTCAAATAGAAAAGATTACTGGTGAAAAGGGCCTGATGGAGCGTAACGTCGCTCAGCATCACGCTTTCGAGTCCGGGCTGGCAGACTTTGAGACATGGTTGAACAATTGCAAACCTGAAAGCTACGACGGCAAGGAACTGAGAGCTTCAATCGACCTTTTCGGCAAGATTTTGAGTCAGCATCTCACAGAAGAGATCCAGACGCTTTTGGATCTAACAGCATACGACGGGAAAGCTTTGAGAGATGCCTGGAACGTGTTTGATCTGGAGATGCGGAAAGGCGACAAGGTGAGCATGTTTTTTTCCTTGTAGATACCCATGAGAAGTAAGCTGACTTGTTAGTCCATCATTTTCCCCATCGTCTTTGGAAGTTCTGATGGAGAGTTTGAAGGGGCGGGCGACTGGCCCGAAGTTCCCGGGCCGGTGAGGCTTCTTGTGCACTATTGGTTTGAAAGGAAGCATCAGGGTGCATGGAGGTTCTCGCCATCGACGACTTGGGGGGCCAAGCGTCCGCTGGCATTTACTGGGGATTCTAAGAGCTAAGTGGCTAAGTATCCTGTAACTGCCAGGCTCTACTGTGGCCAGATAAACAGATTGCTACTGGAATCAGGGCGCCATGATCAGTGAAAAAGTTGGCAATTCATAGCTCTCTTTAAAGAGCCTATTCTACGTGCATATTACTTTATAATAATTGATCTTAATTGCAGCTACAATGAGTAAAATCTCCAGATGGCTAGAATGACAAGAAGGTATCTTGAATCTTTGAATAGTTGAATATGAGGTCCCTGTAACTCATAACTACACATTCAGCTGTACATTGGTAAGCTGAATGAGATACTGATTTCGTCTTAGCTCCTCTGTTGCATAGTTATCGGTCGCTATTATAGAGCATTCGTGACGCTGCAGGGTACTCACAGTCCAAAATAATCGAGCCCGTATCCGACACACATCTCTATGATACGAGCTGAATGTAAGCCAGTGGCAATAATGACTTCCCCTGCATCTAGCATCATGCCCACCCCTATGGTAATAACCTTGTTCGGCAATTCAATGTTCTTTTCTTGAAAATGTGGCGACTTGCTAAGCACAGAGTCTAAAGTTAGAATATTCACTCATTGACACTATCGAGCCATCTGGCGCTTTGAATGTCGGATACTCGTTTATTCCGACTTCCACGGAACAGCTCAAATCGCGTATGGGTCTATCTTGCGTTTATACTCGGGAATTCCAAGTCGGCAGCTTTTCAGTCAAGAGCCAGGAATCCAGTATTACAGCCCTGGTTCTTGTCATATGGAGATATCTACTTGGCAGAGTGAGGAAATTATTCCGTTCCGAACTTTTTCATTCCGAAGGGTAAGCTAGCATGGCCTGTCTTGACTGCTCATACACGTATTCTTATTGGGAGCGGTCACGAGTCAGACAACCTCATTAAGCAAGTCCATTGTTCAGCAGACTATGTAAGCGGGGAATCGCGGACTTTGTCAGCGCCCTTTACCTGGGCTGGCCCGCTCGCTGTGCTCCAATTTCCAGGCTAGGTTCTCTTTGACGGGAGAGGCGTTCAGATGAAATGTTACAGCCAAGGAATAGCGGGTGAGATGGGGTCTTTGGTACTATTGATTGTTGATAGTACTAATTTCTTACTCGTGTTCCACTATCTGGTTCATGAAAACTACTCGTAGTTGCTGAGCTATCGTCCGTTGCCAAGCATGCGAAGACGGCTAAGGCAGTGCCTCTTTATTAGAGCGCGTGTTAGTAGCTCGTTGTTGGAGGGTCTAAGGCGCATTCAGCCGCCAATTGAGCTGCTTCCCCTCCTCACCAAGACGACCTCAGTGAAACCTTTGACGACTATCAAGCCGCCTGATATATCTTTTCAAGTTCCAGGGACGACTTTGGGATATTCAATAACGCCTTACCATATAAGTGACTGTGCTATTGGGGCTGGCTGATTTACTTCACTTGCCCATCTCTGCTTCAAAATAACGGTCAAGGCCAACAAAGACCGCAGCAAGTCGCAACATGGGATCCAAAAGCACGTCGCCAGAGTCATTCTTAGACCAGTTCCCTATCGAGCCGTCTGATTCCTCGGAACCTTGGTCACTAGCTAGGGATCTGTGGCTTACCTATCGGAGCCTAGCAATGACTTCATCAGATCAGTTCATTCCAACGCCGCTTTTGAAGCAGAACATGTCGACAGGACATCAGACGGGAAAGTGCTTAGCCGTCGACATTGGGGGGACAAATCTCCGAGTAGGCATCATCGAATTTCTCGACACAAGTAAAGCAGGAGATCATGATGACGTGACTGAGAGTGCCAAGGATGCTCCAAATAGGAGTCGGCTTCATAAGTCCTTCGAAAAGTCTTGGTATATTGATGAAGATCTGAAAAAGGAACACCCGCAAAAGATCTTTAACTGGATTGGAAGTTGCATTATTGATGTGATGGGCAACAAAAGGAGTTTCCCGGAGGGCTATGACGAAGAATTTCTGCCAGTCGGCATTACGTTTTCCTTCCCTATGATGTAAGAAAAGTCAACGCTATTGCAGATACACAACGCCAATGATGCTAATACCCATTCTGAACACAGTCAAGAGTCATTACAGGAAGCTAAAATAATGGCACTGTCCAAAGGGTTCACTCTTGCTACGGATATGGACCTGGGACATCTTCTTATCCAAGGCTATGAGACTCACAGAGTTAAGCTTGGTGACCAGCAGGATATCAAGTTGCCAGATTTGAAGATTGCCGCCATTGTCAACGATGCGGTAGCGACCTTTATCACGGCAAACTACAACGCTCAAAGCACGTGCGGTAAACCAGTGCCTATGGTGAGTCACCCCTCTTGACAGTTTCTCGTAGCTGACACCAAAGTATAGAGTTTCATCTGCGCAACAGGCACTAATGCTACTGTAACCATGCCTTTGAGTAGCTTTGGGAGCTTTAAATTGCCTCGTCATATGGATCTAGGGGAGCTTTCTTCAAATTCTACAGAGTTCATCATCAACACTGAATGGGAGATGAAAGGAGCATCAGGACCACTACAATCTTATATAACAAAATGGGACTTGCTACTTGACAAAAACCTTCCTATACCTGGCCAGCAGCCATACGACTACATGAGTACATATTTCCAAACTATTGAGAAGTAAATATGGCTAATAGGTTTCTCTAGCTGCTGGGAGATATCTTGGTGAGCTTGCTCGCCTAATGGCGGTCGACTTCTTCACAAGCCAATGGCATATCTCCGAAGTCGACCTACCATTGCGGCTTCGGCAGCGAAACTCTTTGGCGACAGCATTCATTGGAACCCTTGGCGAGACCACCACATCTGGCAGTCGTAATGAAAAAGGCCCGATTGTCGCGATGTGCGAGACAGAATTACCCTCTACATCAAGCAGCAAGTGGAAATGGGACTATGAAAGTGCAAATGTCTTGCGCGAGATCTCAATCAGAGTTAGAAAGCGCGCAACGATGCTAACAGGCAGTGCCATCATTGCCATGCTGCTTTGCATCAGAGCTCTTAAGTCAGATAAGTTGCTCGACCCTGAGTTACTTTCGAGCCATAGCACAGCGCCGTCGGAACAAGTCCAATCGTCGGATGCTGAGGCCCCAGCTGAAGAAGAGCCATTGCTTGTCGGCTATACGGGCGGATGTAAGTTACCATCTCTTCTTCCAGAGACACATCGCTAATGCTGTGGTGCTGCAGGTATCACGCATTTCCCAAGATACTTGGACGAAGTCCAGAGTTGGGTTGATCGATTGACACAAGACATCAATTCATCTTCACAAACCGTCGAGTTTATACACGTTGTTGATGGAGGCATTCGTAAGTACTCAGAAAGATGAAAACCTTATAGTACCTGAACTAAATCTTTGTCTAGTTGGTGCTGGTATACTAGCATGTACGGGATTGACTACATAGAAGCTGTATAGAATGGAAATTTAGCAATTATACGTCTATTTACTTGTACTTGTACCATGAACAAGACACGAGAAAAGCTGTCACAGAGACTTTTCATCCAGTTGTGAAAGATCACCGCCTTGCCTCACTACACCTAGCTACCAAAAGTCGTTCTAAAATACCACAACCTCATCTTCATCATCGCTCCATTCCTCGTCATCTTCCTCCTCGGCTCTCGCCCAATTTTCCTTACTCACCCTTGTATGTTGCTCAGAGGGTCGCTCAGACCAGGGGCCCAAGTAGCAGGCGTTCTCGGCTGCATAATCCAAGTACCCCCAAATTCGATTCACGCTCACGTCCTCTAGGAGCTCCTTGGCCGTACGATTCGGTCCCGAGCTTGATATGAACGTGTCGGTGTCCATGATATCCTCAATCTCATCTTCCGAGTCCCGCGCTGCGCACATGCGCGCATCCTTCAGCAGGTCCAAGACGCCCTCCGTCTCCCACCATGCGGCGTACGAATGTTGGATTGAGTAAGTCATTTCTTCCCAAGACCCACGTGAATATGCCTCAGGCCTGCTGCAGAGTGCCTCATCGGGATCAAAGAGATTGAACATGAATTGGCCGTTAGTCTTGTTCAGGGCAGCGCCAAGCAGGCGGATATGGTTCATCAGAGTTGACTCGGTTTGGAGAAGAGATCCGGGCGCTTCTTTCTGGAGCTTTATAGAGAGGGGACTCCGAACAACGACCAGCTCTATCTTATCCCGTATCTCAATAGGGAGGCGGGTACGGGAAAGGATCTTGCGAGTGATCTTTAGGTTATGAATATCGACGAGCAGCTTCAGATTTAACAGCAGAAGGGCGACAAGTGAGTTTAAATCCGAATACTCGACGAGTAGAAACTCTGGCTTCTCAAAGACGTCGGCACCGTGAAGATCGAGGTGCGGCAAGTCCATATCGCCCCAGTCGTATCGGCCGTCTGGATCACAGGTAGCCCACCACTTGACAAAGTCATAGCACTCCTGGTCGAGATCCAATCGCAGCATCAGAGCCGGGACCATGTCTCGTATCCCCATGTTGTCGCTGCGGTTCAATCGCAGCATATCGCGCATGTGCTCGTAGGCCTCACTGACGCTGCCCAGCGTCCCCTGGTGAAGCAGCTTCATGGCCAGCGCCATCCGCGCCCGCATGTAATCTCATGTGTTTATCATACCTCAGAAGTGGCCAGCATGCGATTCAAAGGCGTTGGCAGGAGTCATGAAGTCCTCTGTGGCGTTGCGGACGGCATGATCTTCTTCAGCGAGCTTGGCACGAGCTTTCTTGATCTTGGAACAAGCAGACTTATGCTTCAGCCAGTGAGCGACCTGGTGCTTGCGGCTGCAATAGCGGACGGCGAGACATCCATTGCATCGAAGGAGTTTTGGGCCAGCAGTTTGGCAGTGAGAGCAGCGATGGAGGAGGGGCCCTACAATGCCCTTGTAATCGCTAGCAGAAGGCGTGGAGTTGGCCATGTTGCACTCTCTAGAACATGGATGGTTTGTTGTGATGAGACACGGATATCATCCAGTTAAGCGATTGAGTTTTGAAGGGAGAAGAAGAAAAAAGGGAAATACGACGATATCAACGGCAAACGGAGGTGAGGTCCATTGGTAGGTGGTTCGGCTTGGTGCATGGCATCACGTGTGTCCACAAGTGGTTTGCAAGGTGAGACAAGACATTCACTTGGATCAAAGACGGTGGCACGTTAAGTAGACAGTTTAATTGACTGATAACGTTAGTCGAATAGAAAAGCGGGAAATGAAGCATCGCCGCCCATCCAGCCAATAATACAAGTGGTTATAGTTACTCTGCATAGATACACGTAGTTGCTGCTCTACGAATCCCTCACTATCATCACCACCATTGCCATTACCATCTACAGGGAGTATAAATGCTGCACTCTTGTGCTCATTCATCCCCACAGAATTGTAGCTTGGACCCAATATGTTAAACAAATTGTTCAATCTCCTTCATTAACACGCCTTGGTCCCACGAATTACTTACATGTTGTTGAGAGGGTTCTGTGTGAGTATTCAATAGTCTATAAAGCATAACAAATCATCCCGTTTCAACAAGCCGCCTAGGGCTCAATCGATGATTCGTGATTGGCCAATGGCACCCGGGTGATATCCGGGCGTCGTTGGCTCTGCACTTGCCCGGTTAGCTCAATCGGTAGAGCGTGAGACTCTTATGAGCACACGTTCTGAATGCAATCTCAAGGTTGCGGGTTCGACCCCCGCATCGGGCTCTTCCTATACAAAGTCATTCGAGTGAGATTTAGGCGGTTCTTTTTTGTTTCTTTTTTCCTTGTTCTCTCAACTATTCATTATTGCTGCTATCGTGGTAATGTTCTGTTCTTGTTTTTTTTGCGTCCCTCGCACATAAAAGTCAAAGTCATGTAATAGGGGCACAAAGGAACTTCCAAGGTTGAGCGTCTTTGAGACTATCATTGCGGCCATCAACATTAACTCAGTACATACAGCCTTCTAAATATCATCTAGAGTACATAGAAACGCCGAATTGTTCAGGTCTTGTCAGATATAAAGATGAGGGCAGCAATTACATTCTGAAAAGCAACCTCATCCCCTATATAGTCATCACACAGATTCCAGACTCGGACATATTTCGTGCTCCCCCAACATTCACCATCATCTTTTTTTCTTCATCATTCCTTTTGATCTCTATCCATTCTTTCCTCTCAGCTGTGGTTCCAGACAACATAACATAAAGTAACATACAGCGCAATGATCCCAAGGGTAGTGATTAAGAGCTAAACATCAAGTCCTTAACAGAGTCAAGTAGAGCATCAGTGGCTGGCAACGGCACAGAGGAGACCCCTTGCGCCGAATCTGTACTCGGAGCAGGCGGCATCTCCCCATCATTGCAAAATACCTCATCTAGTTCGAACGTCTGTCCGGGATGTGTTTCATGTCGTGTCCAAGAACACTTGAAACAGAAATCGAGCTTTCGATCCCTACACTCCCAATACGGTCCATATATCACCTAGAAAGCAAAGTTGTTAGATTGTGCCTGGCCCTGTAGCAGGTAGAACAAGATACAGGTTCATGTACATACCGTCGCACACCCGCCACAGATCGACCATCTTCGGGTGGCTTTGCCCACGGGTTTACCGTTGACGAGTACTATGTCAGCCCCATAGTCAGTGTATAAGCGCCTCTTCGAGCAATCATCGGCATCAGAATTAGAGCCATCATCATCTGCCATCGCGCCCGGATTATGCCCCTTCGTTCTGGCCTTCCACTTGGTCTTCCAATTCGCCCTCCACTTCGCCCTCCATTTGTTATCCATCAGTCGGCTTTTCACATCCTTTTGACCATGATACTTTGCGACGTGATCCGTTGTCCAACCCATTTGGGAGAGGTGGTTAGCATCAGCTCCATAATGGACAAGAAACATGACAATTTCGTGTTTGTCCTGTTTGCCAGACCACATGAGGGGGGTCCAACCATGTCTATCGCCTTGTGAGATGGCGTCTTTGATGCGTGGATCCTTGGGTATTGCAGATGATTCTTCATTTTCACAACCATTGGAGCAAATGAGCCATGAGATGTGCCCCAGAACACGCAGGTTCCCTGCAGTTGCTGCATGATGCCAGATAGTTCTGCCCTGTGTATCTTGTCGTGTCAGGCCATTTGGATCTCGGCCCAGTATTTTGATGAAGCTGTCCAGGCTACCCTTTGTGGAGGCGGCAATATGAACGGCGCTTCTGCCCTGTTCATCTTCGTCCGTTACCGAAGCCCCTCGCGAAAGTAAATAATCCACAACATCCAGAGATTGAGCATCGTTGTATCTGTGGCGCATTGCTATAGCAGCATGTAAGGGAGAGCCCCATTTTCCACCGAGAGCCTTGATATTCGCACCCTTTTTCTCGAGTAGTTTGATCCTTTCCACAGTGTCCTCGCTTCCCAGGATGCTTGTATTCTCGCCTCCCTTACACACCGCATACATGCAAGTAGTGTTGTCGATTTTTGAGCGAAATTCAATGTCCGCTGTTGCGTCAAGAAGTATACTGAAAGATTTCAGGGTGCCGCGACTTGCTGCATAATGCAGAGGAGGTCCAATCCAGTGGCTTGAGATGTTCAAATCGGCTCCAGCTCCAACAATCAACTCGACACACTGGTCAAGTTGCTTTTTGATAGCTAAGTGAAGAGCACTCTGCCCCTTTTTATTAGTGTGATTAAGATCAACACCATATCCAAGCACAAATTGAGCCATATCACATGATTTTGAATGCATAGCGTTACAAAGAGAAGAGTTTTCATGGAGGTCTTCGCTTCTGATGTCAGCTCCTTTGTCGAGAAGTCGCTTAACAATGGACAAATAATTCCCTTGAATGGCTGCTTGCAGTGCATTGTCCAAGCCAACTTGCTCCCATTCTAACTTTTTATTAGATGCAACAGCTTCAAGAAGAATGTCGATTATTTGTCGGTAGCCCCGCTGGGCAGCAACATTTAATCCCGTCTGGCCATTAGAATCTTTCTGGTTTGGCCTCGCTCCGTGGTTTACGAGACACCTCACGGTTTCCACATTGCCAGCTGCAGAAGCAAAGATGAGCGGAGTCCGACTACCACCACCCTGGCCCTGGATGTCTGCATTATACTGAAGAAGCATCTTGACAAGGGCTAAATGGCCAGCTTCAGCTGCGAGATGTAATGGTCGAGACGCCGCATTACCCAAGTAATCGATTTCCGCCCCGTTTTGGATCAGAAACTCAGCGAGAGCCACATGCCCCTTCTCTGCCGCTAGATGCAGAGGTGTTATATCATTGAGTGCGCGGACGTTCATTTCGGCCCCTCGGCCGAGAAGGTGCTTTAATATAACCAAGTGACCGCAATCAGCGGCTAAGAGAAGAGGTGTAAAGGAATTTTTCGCTCTCGCCTCTAGATTCACATCCTCTGCTGCGGCTATCAATCGAACAATGGATTCGTCCGCATTCCGGATGGCGATATGAAGGGCCATGTCCCCGAGCTTATTATACTTCTTAGAGGATGCCTTTTTCTCCAATAGCTCTTCTACTATTTCTCTCTGTCGCATTTTGGTGGCCAACGATAATGGGGTGTCTCCCTCAAGATCCTTTTCATCAATCTCAATGTCTTCTTGCAGAAGGAGCTCTTTGACGATTTCCAGGTGACCCATAAGAGCTGCGTAATGTAAAGCCGTACGGCCGACAACATCCTTTGCATTGACGTCTATCTTCATCGATATCAAGTGGCGGACCATATCTTGATAGCTCAGCATAGAGGCAAGATGAAGCGGAGTCCTGTTTTTCGCATCTCTCACATCGATTGGTAAGTCTTCCGAGGCGAGCATCGATAGTAAATCAACGTTTCCGTTTGCAACGGCCAAGTGTAACAGACTGCTTGGGTAGCTTCGTGTCTGGCTCTCTTCATCCGTAGCTGATTCATTGGCCTCAGTTACAGAGGACTTCAAGTCAAGTATAATTTCTGCCGCGGCTTTGTTGCCCACTTTGATCGCGGCGTGCAAAGCCGGCTGTAAGTGAATCGTCAAACCACTCTGGTGCTGTTTAAGTTTGTCGGCAGCAGTCTGTATCAACCATGGAGACCAATTCATATATGCAGCTGGTTCTAACAGGGAGGCAATAACAGGCGACCCTTGCTCCCACTGGAATCTCTTTAAGAGCTCTGTTATCACAGCTTGGTTTCCACTTATAAGCGACCCTGCAATAGCTTTGGAGATAGAATCCTGTTGATAATCAAACTTTGAAAGCAAATACTTGACAGTTGCCAGTTTGCCTGATCTTGTTGCTGTCATCAAGATTACATCTTCGCAGTCGCCATCGATCATCTGCGCCTCTTTCTCCAAGGCCACTTCAAGAGCGGCTCTGAACCCCAGACTAGCACAATAGAAAGAGACAGGTGCCCGAACATCTGGGATTTCGGGAATCACATTGCCAAAGCATCCTAAATGATCATTCAGTTTCCTCCATGCTGCGCGCCACGCAGAGGATTCAAATCGTTGCATTACCGTGGTAACAACCTCAGTAGCTGGGCCTTGGATAGAGAGATAGTGACCTGGCCAGTATTGTGCAGCGTACATGCAGAAATTGTCTTGATAAGAATCAGAACGTGGCAGGATGGCGGAATCATGCTGCTCATCCAAAAATTCGCATACTCTTTCCATCCGCTCTACTGAGAGGTAACCGAGACATATCTGAGCAATCGTCAAGTGGTTAATGGTTTTGGGCAGTTCTGACGCCTCGGACTTTTCTCTCTCCGTTTTGCATGATGAATCTGGTCTGTTTGCTCTTCTTCTCACTTCTTCAGTGACGGCTTGCCTAAGGTGTAGATTTGCGATGCTCACTTCCGTACCGCGAATTTCCACAATGTCTCCCAGAGCGAGCTGAATGGCCACTGATATATCACGAGTATAGCAGTCATTTATTGGATCGTAGTCCAGAGAGATTGCCTTATGAGCAGAAGAGACCGGGTCCACGAAATCCAGGGCCATTGCCATGGCCAACTCCGGAAGCTCAAGCGGTCGAAACCCATAGATAACCCATGCAAGCATTCTTAGAGTCCAATCTTGGCCATAATCCGTGAGCCTGCAGAGAGTACGGCTTATAACCGACTGCACTGGTTCGGCGCCCAGAGATATTTTGGTGTCTTTAACGAAACTTGGCATAGTCTGCGTCATACTCATTTCGCTGTGTTCTAGGGCAATGCTTAGAGGGATCTTAAGTCTAGTTCCATCATAGACACTCGTAATGACAATCTTGAAGTTTGCCTCCGATATACTGCAAAAGTTCTTGAGATTGTCCAAAAACGTCGTATAATCTGACCTACAATCGTGAAGTGCGTTGATACCGCAAACTATGGCACATTTTCCGCGGTATGAGAGCAAAGTCTTCATCAAGCGCCAGAGCCGAGACACCGCTGGTTCATCCATGTCATCTGAGAGCATATCAGAAATGGAACCCGCTTCGACATCGGCAAGGAAAGTGAATAAAGTTGGTTCTGCTAGTAAAAGCTGTAACACAAGCGATGTAAACAGTGCTTCGAGGTTGTTGTAACGATCGTCAAAGAAGGAAAAGGTAAACGAAGCGGATAGAGTAGTCATATCGCTCTTCTTATACTGTTTCTCCGCCTCCCTCATCAGGTATTGAGATGCTAAACGCTTTCCTGAGCCCTCATTACCGCTCACAAGAAGGATCTTAGAAGTCGGTTCGGATAACCAGGTTTTGAACTGTTGGTTCTCTTCCTTGATCAAATTAAAAGATTGATGTTGCCCCAGGGATTCATTTTGATATATTTTGAGAAATTTCTTCTTGTTCAAAGATCGCAAAACAGCAAGGTAATTGTCGTAATAGTCGTCAAAATGGCTCGGCTCCAGAAGTTTTTGGATCTCCCTAGTCAATACCTTCAGGTCTTCGTCTTCAGGGGAAAATTGACCCAGATCAACGTATTGCATGTTTCGAGTCAGGCGCTTTTCCATAGGAAAATTCAAGAAGAAGATGTCCTTTGACGAACTGATCTCGAAGTCTTGATAGATGGATAAAATACGATAGCGCGATGCAAAAGATCGAAATTCACGTCTTACTTCACCCCAAGCTAGATCATCCATAAACTTGTCGTAATATAACGGGACTTGTGGTGTGCCAACAAATATCTAGACAGTATCAGCAATCTCGTTCAATATTTACTTTTCGATGCCTGCATATTGTCATACCAGCAATTCGGTTCGAAGTTCGATCGATCGGTACTTCAAGCTACGCCTGGCCATGCATAGCGCTCTTTGGACAATCCGGCCACCCAAACCATGAGCAATCATTACCAAGGGAATAAACTTGGTGTCTTTGTTGTCTCTGCTTCCACCGGTTCTATTTGCATGATATCGATCGTTGTTTTTCCAGATGGTCTCAAGCAAGCTCACAGCTGCTTCATCGAAATTAGGGGATTTATCAAGCCCAAACGTTGCCTCGACATCATATTCGAAGGTTATTTTTGCTCGAATTTCGCGGATTCGATGAGAGAGCAAGTCTTGTAAATGCTTGGCCTTTTCAGGATTCGACGAAGGCTGATTTTGGCCTTCAATGCCATGGATTACAACGATGCTGCGCCCGTTAGCATCTTCCTTGGTTCAGAGGACATCTTAAGAATTACTGACTCGATTTTCTGTCGTTCTGATCCGATTTCCTGTCGCCAACTTGGACCTTCAGTCTCCTCCTCTGATACGCTGGAGGTCTCTGACCAGTCCGAGTCGTCCGAGTCGTCCGACATGATTTGTCGTACGGATGGGAATTTATAATCGAAGCCGCTTAGTACCAATCTTGAACCGCAGATTATAGCTCTATCAAGCTCAGATATGGATCTCCTTGGGGACGAGGAAAGCGGAGGCAACCACTCCACGGTATTTATGTTTTCGGAGTAGTTATATGCATCTTGTGCGCTTTGTAAACCATTGCGACTTCCGCCGTCTGCTTCGCCGTCTTTCCCCTTTGTTCTTGCTTTCTTTGTCTACATAAGCAGTACATGTGATCCGATTCTGGCTGTCTGTTTGGTCATCTTTCCTCTTTGTTCTTGCTTCTTTTGTCTACATATGCAGTACATGTGATCCGACATGACGTCCAACAAGGCAACCAGCTAAGCCAACGACACGATACCTCACAGCATACTCGCCCGTCATCGGTATTCAATGAGATCAGTGAAATCTCCTTCCGCGATAGTGCCTGTCCCCCCCTCTGTATCCCCCTCCATACGGCCCTCCTCGCCTGTGGTCACCCCTATCTCGGGGTCCATGACTATGTCCTCCACGATATCCCCCACGCCCGCCTCCCTCAGGGTGCTCGTTTCTAGGCACTGGTATCGGCTCTTCCACTTCGACCTCGTATTCTTCATACTCTTCATTGTAGTATTGAGCTACCGTGTCTTGTTCTTCCCGAGCCGCCTCGGGGTCGAAAACGAATCGCATGGTGCCGTCCTGGCCACGCGCCGTTCGTCGCATGGACAAGTCGCCGGGTAACGAGGATGAAGTTGCTGTCGGCGAAGTGATTGAGCCAGGGGTGAGTGGGCTGGGTTCCTCGTTCTCGCAACGGCTGCAGTAGTACATGTGTCGAGAGATGAATTCTTTTTCGAGCTCCGTGTTAAGGGCGATTTTGATGTCCATGAATCGGTTTAGATCAAACTGCGTGCCGACTTTGGTCGACTTGTGGTACTGGACGTACAGGTCCAGGATGTCTAGCATGGTCTCGAGCACAGCTGGGCGATGGTACTGCCGCCGCTGCGCGGCAAAGTCCTTAACTTTGTCCAAGTGATTGCCCGTCATGCGAGCTGTGAGTTCCACGAGAGCCATGACCATGGAGAAAGTGGTGCGTTTGATGGGAACAAACGTCTTGTACATGTCGATGCTCATGGCGTAGGCGATGTTGAAGAATTCTTTGCCCTGTTCGGGCCCGAGGATGCTGCGTACGACTTTAACCAGGAGCTTCTGGGGGTAACGAGTGCGAAAGTCGAATCCGATGGTTTCGAGAATCAGTCGCTCAAGCCCAATGATGATTTTACCGGGTGACTCAAAAATCTGCAAAATCATGTTAGTTTAGTCTAGAAGGACACGGAGCACACGCACCTTGTCGTCTGAAGCGGCGGGCTTCTCAGGATTCTTGACGTTGTAGGCTGCCGCGAGTATGTCCTTGGACTTCTTAATCGTATCCTCAACTTTGCACGCGACAAACAACGATGCCAGGGCCGCGTCTTGGTAGTTGTATTCGGCATCGCGAAAGTTGAGCCGAAACTTGTGGAAATAGGTGCACGCTGTGTCAAATGTCCGCACCGGCCTGGGGTATTCCAGCAGAGGTCAGCTCTAGCTCTGGCAAGCAATAGTCGGGCAGTACAACGCACAGATTCAGATGCTGCCGGACAGTGTCTATGAGCTGGACGCCCTGCAAGCGGTAGTTATCCTCTCGCGCGGGGTCGCAGCCATTCTCCTTGAGCATGCGCCGTATCTTGAGCTCCGAGGCGTATTGGTTGGAGCTGGAGATGTAGCCCGGATGAGGCCCGATTCGGGGAGCTGCGTCGCCATTCGAAGCCGTTGGCGGCGCCTCGAGGTCTGTGGGAGACATGTTTTGCGATTGGTTGGTTTGAAGACGGAGAGATAGAAAGAGAGAGACGGCCACAGTCTTGGGGGATTCGAGTGGGATTGACTGGCGGGAGGTGTTGCTTTCGTGAAGAGGTTGAATGATGCCCTTTTGCGCCCAATTTTCCTGCCCAAGAGCCCAATTAGCCACTATTGACGGCGCTGCGTGATTGCCGTCTGCAGCATTACTAACACGCCGCCATTGCAGGATCGAATTGTCGCATGTGAGAGTCGTTGAGGTCGAGATGGAGGAGTCAAAGATGGAATTATGCCTTCAGGTGCTGGCAGTCATAGAGAGGGCCCACCCAACTTTTTACGGCGCGCAGCCATGCCGCTGGGGCGCGGATCGAGTCAGCGTGATGACGCAGTGCGCGAGGCCAGGCTTTGGCCTAATTATAAGGGAAAAAGAAATAAGAAAGGGCACACTTAAATTTATCATAAAGATATACGGAGGAGACAGCTTTTTATTTAATCTGCCAGTTCTTGTCATGTATCCGCCACCTTCATTCGCAATTTTCTGGTATCGGCTACTATCGCTATGGATACCTTCGGCATCCAGTATAACAGCAAGTAATTACATGTAGAGAACGGGAGGGTAACTCTAACTCGAAGATGCCACTAGGTGATACCATGCATTGAGCAGTAATTAGGATGCCCGCTACCAGTCACTCTACGAGAAAAGGGTATGGATGGCTGTAAAACAATGGATGCTTGTGGCTTTGAAGCTCCCAATCGCCCACAGCCAATCGATTTTCTATAAGCGGCTGGTGACCTGCTAAAACTACATGTACAAAGAAGCGCTTTGTGGTGTTACAACACTCAAGACCAGCGCCCTTGGAATGCAACAAGCATCCATTAATGCCAGTGCTTCTATAAAGCGCTTGACTGCATTGGATCCCGTTTCTCACTTGAACCAGCGACTTTCCAACAACGATTAAGCGCGCCGCTAAACAAACGTGCCTCGTCTTGCCTTTGACCCCCCTTGCGTACGGCTGAAACTCATGGCGTTGCAAGACGCCGGCTCCAAGTCTCATGTGCTGGCCTAACGGCTCAGCTTGGAGACGGATTGCATGAAACTCGGCTCTCATCTGGAGTAAAGTAATTGGTGACTAGCAGATGTTTCAAGGACAAGTTTCTTGATCTGCCCCCCTGAACCGCTGCTGCCGGAACAGCTTAAAGGAGCGCCCCATCCACCTCGATGTTTGTAAAGTTGTTGTTCCATCTTGTTCAACAACCGTTCATTTACACTGCTCTGTTTCATTCATTTCTAGTGAGCTAGCTCTCACGATACATCAACTCGAATCCTTCTTTTCATCGTTGTTGTATTTACATATAAATCACCTTGCGCTGGATCGCACCGATACCCTTCCTTTATCAACAGATCTTCACGCTCAGTCTCTCGTATAACCAACACAACACAACTCAAGCAAATATGCAGCCTTCTACCCTGTTTTTCGCCGCTCTTGCCTCTGCCTCTGTGGCCATGGGTCTTCCATTCAATCTTTTCCGACCAACCTTTTCGGGCGGCTCTGCCCCTGCGAGCGATGCTCCAGCAGCACCTCAACTCACCCCTCCCAACTAAGCAAGATTACGACATGCGTCGTTTAGCGCGTCCTCCTTCGAGAGTACAGCTATGTGATGCTATCTCCATAGCGGCCATAGGTTGCTCAATCATGGCATAATACTATTCCTATGCGCGTTCATATACCACTTTATTACTTTGGACTTTTGGGAGTGATGGTTGGACACATAAAAGATGTTCGAACTCGGTGGTTTGCTTGGTTATCGAGAGCTGCCTATAGGGAAACATTATGAAAATAAATAGCATAAAACACGTATTCTTCAGCTTTTCTTTCTATCAGTGATTTCTTCTTGTCTCCCAATACGCTGAGTCCTCGTGTATCGATTGGTTCATATTTCTGAATTTCAACCTGGCCGGCTGTAGGGTAAACCGACATCTCGTTTCTAAGGCACTCAAACTGATGCCGCTGATTGGAGTTTGTGATCCCAAACTTTAGTGGACATACATACGCAGCCTTGAACGCTATTCCGCCACCGCCCACGGGCTATTACCGCCCCCGGATTAGTTTTCTGCCCGCCGATAACGATAACGCGCGCGCTGACAGCTTAATCCCTGCCTGCTGGCCGCATCATCACCAGCTTCTTCCAACCTCGTCTGTTTCAGCCTCCCGTCTTCCTCTTCATCTTCATCCTTCCATCCTCCCTCATTTACATCTACAGAGCACTCATCTAGAGGTTTAGAGATAATCATAAGAATATCCAATTTATCTATTCTCTGGTCTTTCTTTCACTATGCGCGCCACTACTTCCCTCTTCGCGACAGCTCTGCTGGCCAGCCGCACCCTTGGCTGGAAATTCTCCCTCCACACCACAGACGACGCGGACGATGACACACCGTTGCCGCTCGTCATCTGGCACGGTCTAGGCGACACCTTCAACTCCGAGGGCATCACGGAAGTTGGCGAATTAGCAGACCAGATTCACCCAGGCACTTTCACATATGCCATCGGACTCAGCACCGATCCAAATTCCGACCGCTCCGCCACATTCTTCGGAAACGTCACCGAGCAGCTACAGACCGTGTGCGATGTCCTCGCCGAGCACCCAATTCTGTCCACCGCCCCGGCCATCGACGCCATCGGCTTCTCCCAGGGAGGACAGTTCCTCCGCGGATACGTCGAGCGATGCAACAACCCCCCGGTTCGCAACTTGATCACCTTTGGCAGCCAGCACAACGGCATCTCCGAGTTCAAGACTTGCGGCAACGTAGACTACCTGTGTAAAGGAGCCATGGCTCTATTGAGGTTCAACACGTGGAGTAATTTTGTCCAGAGCCGCCTGGTGCCTGCGCAGTACTACCGCGACTCAAACGACCACGATACCTATCTTGAACACTCGAATTTCTTAGCCGACATCAACAACGAGCGGCCGCAAAAGAACGAACAGTACAAGAAGAACCTCGCCAGCCTCTCAAACTTTGTCATGTACATGTTTGAGGACGATACTACCGTCATTCCCAAGCAGACTTCCTGGTTCACCGAGGTCAACGGTACTGACACCATTCCCCTGCGAAAGCAGACTCAATACAAGGAGGACTGGCTTGGCCTTCGCCAGCTAGACAGCAAGGGCGGCCTTCGATTCCGATCCATCACGGGTGACCACATGCAAATCACCCTGGATGTCTTGAAGGAGGTCATGTCTGACTTCTTGGGGCCCGTGAACAAGACGTTCCCCCCTGAGAAAACTGCCGAAGATGTGTCTCAGGGAGAGCTCTAGTCGTTCCTCTTCTTGGGCACGTTTGCCATCTGTGCCGAAATTATTATGCGTCACTGGACGATTGTCATCTACATCGTCGTCCTTTTCTTCTTCGGCTATACGTTGTTTTTCTTCTCTCTGCTAGCCCTCCTCTTCCTTTTCTATCTCCTCGTGCGATTTATCTATCTCTACCTTGTCCGGGTCTGGCCGTATTTATGAGCGACGGGTTATGCCAACGGCGCTTTGCTACGGGCATGGAAATGTATTTGGGCGTAATTTGAACTTGAACGTATGGGAAATGTTTTTTTTTCATGTAAGCACTTGAGCAAGATACAACAACAAGGTGTGACTTTTAATAGGTAGCGGGAATATGGCACTCTGTCCAATATGAACAATGCCATTCTCTATTCATATTTTTTTCTCTCTCTCTCTCGTTTCCATCGAATGATACGCCGCAACGCCGGTGCCAGATATCTAATCATCCTATTATGCGCATACACACAGATAATGATGTAAAAGGAACTTTGTATGTCGAAATTTTTGAACCCCCTCCCCCATTTCCTTGCTCTCTCTCATCTTTGTTGACTTTTGATTTTTCTTCTTCTTTTACTCTTCCACTGCCTTCTTAGCTGCGGCCTTTGCGCTTCTCAGCCTCAACTTACGATCTGAGATTTGCTTGTCCAGCTTGTCGTCGTTGCTCTCCGCCTTGGGTTTGCTCTCCTTGGCGGCCTTCTTGGCCTTCTTGGCCGCGGGGGCATCAGCCTGCTGCTCGGCGCTGTCGTCGGTAGTCTTGCGCTTCTTGCCAATGTTGGCCTTTTCAGCAGCCTTGAGTTTCTTAGCCTCACCCTCAGCGTCGGCAATGACGTCCTTGTCGTCCAGCCAGAGCTCGTCGGTCAGCCAGATGGGCAGGGCGGCGGTCTCGGGGCCCTTGATGTAGATGCTCTTGACGTTGCGCCACTGCTGGGGCACCCACTTGTCGACCATGGCGGCGGCGACGGTCTCGATGTTGGCGGCCAGCTGCTCGGGGGTCCAGTCGGAGAAGCCCACGCGGACGGCGGTGTTTGTGGTCGGGGAGAGGCTGACGAGGGCCGAAGACAGGGCCTTTTCAATCTCCTTTGCAATCTCAGCGGCAGAGCCGGCGTTGACCTCGCCCTCCTTCTTCTGGGGCTTGGTCTTCTTGCCGTCGACCTTGCGGGCCTTGGGCTTCAGGACGACGGGGATAGGGCGCTTGAGGGTGGACTTGTAAAAGGTCTTGCCGAGGATTTTGGGCAGACGGTTGATGATGCGGTCGTCACCAAGGAAAACATCGTGCTCAGCGAAGAGCTTGCGCTGGGCCTCGTACTGGCTGAACTTCGCCTTGAGCTTGGTGACGTCGATGACGCGGGTCACCTTCTTGCGCAGCTCGGCGGGGAACTCGTCCGAGGCGACAATGTTCTTGTACGCCCGCTGCGGGTCGGCGGTGATGAGGCAGACGGTGGTCTCGGCCGAGGCGTTGAGGCTGTGCGGCAGCGGGATCTTGCCGGGCTGCAGGCGGGCCTTGTCGGAGATGTGTCGCTTGGTGGTGAGCGTCAGCCAGACGGTCTTTTCCGCGTCGACGTCGTCTTCGAGGATGTTGCGCTTGGACGAGGCCTCGGTCTGTTCCTTGGAGGCCTTTTTGATGTGTGCGAGGAGAGCTTTTGAAGCTTTGAGGGTCTGTTGGGGGTTGATTGTGTGGTTAGTTTCCAGCATTTTGAAGATTTTGATATCCGTTTGATACGGCGAGAGATGGTTACGAACCTGGGCGGAATCAATTGAAACCACGGCCTTTGAGCCGGCAGCGGCTACTTCTTTTGAAGGAGCCATCTTGATTAGTCTTTTTGGTTCTATAAACAACAAAAAAGACTTGAATTGACAATGGTGGTGGAGGGGTGGCTGCAACAAAAGTGAAAGAAAAAGCTACAAATTCTCACCACTCGAAACGCTTGACGCTCGAAGCAAAAAAAAAAATTCAGAAAATTGCTATAAGCGAGATTTTGCCGGCGAGGCTAGTGCGGCGTTCGGAATATGCAAGTCCCGGTTGCCGGTCTTGGCACGGAAGACGGACGGCGGCCGGAGCGGAAGATCCCAAAGGGCTCCACTTTGACTTTGGGGAAGGACGAGAAGTTGCTTGATTTGCTGCCCTTTTTGTGTTGGAGAGTTGGAGAGATGGATTGCAAAAGGGCAGCGGGCTGGAGCTCTGCAATTGGCCAGAAGTGATGCCCGGGTTCTGCTTGATTGGTAGACTGTACTTGTTTTTCCATACGATTTGCGGTCGGCTACAGAGTACTGTGTACCATCACGAGCTACCTTGCTGGTACGCATTGCACCGCATCGCGTCTGCAAGTCTGCATCCTCGCGACCAAGCAGCTAACCTGTAACTGCAATTGCATGAGCCGGTGCATGTACTCACCCATGCGAGGCCATCATGTGCTGGCGACGATGCATTTCTGCCTGATTTCTCGGGATTCAAGACCAATTTCAGACCGGGGGGGGATTAAATAGGCCACTCGCCGCAGCAACGAGTAAGACTGCGCCATGATATCAAATGTGACATGCCGGTTGCCTTTACGAGTATGTGTGTTTCGGCACAGCATTGCAGCGGGGGTGTGAGCGTGAGCGTGAATTGCGCAAAGGCATGGGAGAAAGGTCCATGTCAGTCACATGTAGGGAGCATGTAGGAGTGCGCAGAAGCAGCTTGACGTGGACAATTGCTGCAAGGAAGTCGGACGAGATGGTCGCGTGGGATAGGATAGCTGTCTAGGTAGTTGAGGCTGCAACGCGAAAGAGCTTCGGGAGCTATACGGAGTTTACAATCACTACCAGCATAAGCTCCATGCATTTAATACAGGCTAGTAATGCTACTTTAATGTGGAAGGGCACAAAAAAAACGAGATTAGGATTGAATGCAGGCTATTTTATTTGTAGCACACATCAGCAGGTTCCCACGTCAAGTCGTACTCGGACAGCCTGCAGATGGACGGAGCTGCTACTTCTGACTTTTGCCTACAACGGGAATCAAGCCTGACAGGGATGCCGCCTGCATGCTCTCTCTCTCTCTCTCCTCTCACGGGGTTCCTATTTATTGCCTTCTCGGATGGCTAAAAAGAAGAGAATAGAAGACAAGAGAGACAAAAGCCAGAGGAAGATACAGAAAGAGAGTGTTCAGCTCAGTTTTAATGGAAAATTTCAACAGCTTGCTCTGCATGCGAGGAACGCGGTCCAGGTGCAAAAGGTGGAGACGTGACTAGGAACGGACGGACTGGAGGAGGTTGGAAAAGCGCAGCGTCTTTTTTGCATTTGGTGAAATTACCGCCGGGCAGTTTGCGATTGGCTGCTGGTTTGTGCTAATGTAATTTAATGTCAATTTTGGATGAGCAAGCGTCAATGTGTGCGTAATGATGAGATATCAGACATACAAGGATGTGGGCACATAAGGCAAAATGTACGAGCACTCTAACGTGTCCAGCCGATAGGTGGTAGTTTGTAATAGCACGTAACGTGTAACTAACTGCCCACGGGGAGCGGCTGATTCAATGCCATGCATATACTGTAGCTAGTACTCACTATGTACGAGTACTAATGTATGTAAGAATGAAACAGCGAAAAGGAACAAGTTGGATTGGCGTGTTTGATCAAAGGGAGCGTCGTTGGATGGATATCAAAAGGCCCCGATATGCAGCAGCAGAGAGCAGAGCAGAGCAGAACTGCATACGAGATGTATGTATGTGATTGATTGATTGATGGACTCAATTAATCCAACCCAATAGCAGTCAATACATTAATACGTACGATACGTGTACAGCGCCGGGCCTGCTAATGCCAGACACGACACAAAAATCCATGCAAAGCCGAGCATATGCATGTACGAGCACAAACATGGAGCCCTTCGTAGCGAGAGACTTGCAGCAGCCGATTCCACAAAATCCGCCCCAAAAAGCTCGCCAAAAGGACACACCCATGCAAGCAAACTGCCTTGTCAATTGGGGGGATTCTGATCCATGAAGGGACAAGCACAAAAAGCACAGGCTCAAACCCATCCATGCGTGCCATATGGATCAATTCTTAGTCGATGTACGAAGTGAGATGTACGAGTGAGCACAGGTACTCGCCGCGGCGGTACAGCCCATGTCCATGCCGCCCCAAACGTCGCCATGGCAGCACCCGAAGCTCCCTGTAGC